ACTTCAAAACAAGATGATACTAAATCAATATTACCTATTAAGATTAGACTGGGCCTTTTTGAGGATTGACTGTAATTATGTCGTCTTTTTGCCTGTAGTTTTTTTTTTTAAGCACCTAATTCAGTGCCTGGATTTAGACTTAAAAACAAAGAAGCTAACAAAGTAAATCTATTCCTTGCTTCTAAACTGAAATTTGAGTCCATATCACCTGTCACGTACAGGCACTAATAACAATGAAGTTTTAGTACTTTGCGAACTTAATTGTTGCCTCTTTCCAACTGTAGTTATTTGTGATGGGTAAGTCTCATCTGTTAACTAGGGGGTTCAGACATCATTTCTGGGATTTTGGCATCATGGTGCACACCTGTAGTCCCAACACTCTGGGGGGTTGTGGCAGGAGGATTGTAGGTTTGAGCCCAGGCTAGGTAACATAGTGACTCAGTGAGACTCTGTCTCAAATCTTAAAAGTCTGGGAATGTAGTTCAGTGCCAAAGCCCTGGGCTTAATACTGCAAGGCCTACAAGACAAACCAGCACAAAACGCTTCTCTAATGCCTGCTTTTCTGTGGAGGTGTGGAGGGGCTATATATGTGTGCTGGTCCCATTAGACAGTGAGCTCCTGAGGTCAAGTCCAACACGATGGCCAACACACAAAAGGACACTTAGGACCTTTAAACAAAGATGGTCTCGGTGAGCTCCGTTACCAAGTAAAGTAGGTGCCTAGAGCTAGAACCACAATGCTGGACTTCAGCCGTATAAGAACAGTGCTCTTCCATGGCTGTCCTGCCTGGGTTCCTTTTGGCGTACCTTTTGTGATGCATGCATACGTTTTGTAGTGTGTTGAAATATCATGGTTGTATAATGTGGGAAGGAGGCTGCAGAGAGTTGGGGGAATGGGGAAAGCTAAGCCCGGGTGGCGGCCGAGAAGTCAGCTGCGGTGCCGCGGTGGTCAGCATTACAGGAAGGGAAAATGCGCGCATTCCCTATGGAAGTGGAGATGGGGAGAAATGATGAGGGTGACAGAGCAGGGGAAGGAGATTCCAGGGAACTGATTTGGCAGCCAGGTGGACATCAGGGTGAACGTCCAGGTCTACCTACAGGTAATGGAGATTTTTACAAAAGATAGTTAAGGACGTAGAACAAATAAAGGAAGACACAAGATAATCAGCCACTATCACTCAGAGTTTGATACTGTGTCACTGGGGATGCATGCTCTATCTGTCCTTATTTTTTCTGATAATTGACTTCTTTGTACCTAGCTATAAAGAAAGTTTAATTTTTCCTAACAGTTAAAAAATATATTAAAACTTAAAAATACAAAGTAAGTTTTGATAGACATCTATTCTCTTATTTAATTCTACGATGTATTTTTTGGGAGTTTTTTTCTGACAGTAAACAGGTAAATTTTTATGATTTGAATTTTTTCATGATCACACTTCCTATTAATATCATCACTTAAATAGATTTTGCAAAGATTACTTCAAGTCATGCTTTTATCCAGTAAGATTCTTTTTTTTTTTTTTTTTTTTGGTCTTTTTCGTTTTTATCGGTACCAGGGATCGAACTCATGACTGCCTGCATGCAAGGCAGGTGCTTATGCCACTGAGCTAAATCTCCAGCCCTTATCCAGTAAGATTCTTACAGTTATAGTCACTGTGAGAGAATTTCCACTTGTATAAACGTTCTCCATTTTGAGTAAAAAGATACTCTCCAGGAATGAACCTATGGAAAGCAGATAGAAAAGTTCCTTAGCCACTCATGAAATAAACTTCACAAGTAGACTGTGGTAGAAAAACTTCACAAGTAGGCTGTGGTAGAAACTTCATTTGTATTTTAGACTCTAGATGCAGTTATTTGAAACTCTTGTGCCTAGTGTGTTATTTTAGCTTGGTAAGTTTTAGTGCTGGGGAAGCTCACGCTGAGAGGAATGAAAGGGGACATCACTTTCTGAGTGTGGCGCTCGATCTTCTTCTTGGCTCAGTCTTGATTTGTGCTATCAGAACTAGAGGAGAGGGTCCAGGATCAGCAGCAGAAGGCTTGGTGCCTGCGCATTTTACACCTCGCAAGGTGGGGAACACACTTACGGTTACTTTTATCAAGTGGTTATGCATCACTGGTAGGTGAATAACACGGATTTGAAGCTCTCATTTGCTGCTTGTGAACGGCTTCCTCTTTAGACTGGAGGTACCAGAGGGAAGGGCCTTTCTTGGTCTAGTTCACTAAGTTACTCCCAGTGCTTTGCACAGTGCCTCGCGTGGAGTATGTCCTCATAAACCCTTTGATCCAGTGAGTGTTGTACTACATAGTAACTTAAGCATATGTTCTTTGTAATATAATTTGAAATAACTCTGTGAGGTACATTGTGAAAAATACTATTTTTAGACGGGAAAACAGACTAAGAAAGATTGAAGCTTAAATTGAGGGGTAGTGAACAATAGAACCTGAGTCTCAAATCTAGACTTCTTTCACTTTAAGTTGAACTCTCTTCCTTCCCTTTCCTGGCTCCTCCCTTCTTTCCTTTTCTGTATCAGACTGCCTGTTTCTTTCCTCTGGGTCTTGACAATCTGAGAGGGAGGTGGGGGCTAGAGAGGGAAAAATTATGGTCATCCCATCAGAAACCCTCCTGCTGAGGGAGGGAGCAGAGAAGCATATAAAAATGGGGCCCCTGTCAGTGACCGCCTGGGTTCTAATTCAGCTGTGCTACTTGCTGGTGGCCTGACCTTGGACAAATAGGTCTGTCTAACTGTCTCTGCCTCCCCTTTTGTCTTACATGCGGTAAAATGTAATCATGGTGCTGCAGCCAAAGGATTGCTTTGAGGGGTAAATCAAAGGCACTCATATTTTCGAAGAGCTTGGACAGAGTCTAGCACATAGTGTATTACACAGGTTTGTTGAAGAGAATGTGGATGCTTATCATCAGCTAATAGGCCTTAGAAAGCTGACCATTTAAACCACGTAAGCTTCTGGGGGTAAGACGCTGGGTAGGGCTCCAATGTTTTGTTCCTTTTTTTTTGCTGGTTACATGTGTGTTAGTTACTTTTTACTGGTGGCTGAGACAAAATACCTGATGCCCAAAATTGGGAAAGGAAAGGTTTATTTCTTACAGTTTTTGAAGGTTTCAGTCCATACTCAATTGGCTCCACGGTAGGGTGGCATGGCAGGGCCACAGTTCATGGCGGCTGCAGACAGCAAGGGGGAAACCATAAGAGAGAGAGAGACACCCCTTCTTCCTGTCATTACATTGTATGCTGGCTCCACCCCTAGGTGGGTGTAGCACTGACATCATCAATCTAAGCCCTGGACAATGAACCAATCATAAATGCACAATGCAAGCGTGTGAGGCCTGGGGGCCACCAACATAAACGATGATACCTTGGTTTTTTGTCTGTAATTTAAATCCCACCCTGCCCTCTGCTTTTCAGGTGCAGTCATTTTCTTCTTGTGGAGCCTCTCTCTTTGTCTGTCCTTACTAAATATGTTTTTTTTTTCTTTCTTTTCTTTCTTTTTTTTTTTTTTTTTTTGTGGTACTGGGGATCGAACTCATGACCTTCTGTTTGCCAGGCAGACATTTAAGCACTGAGCTAAATCCCCAGCCCTACTAATACGTTTTAAAACCAGCTTTCCAAGAAATCTGCAATGAGGAATTACTAACCATCTTTTCTATAGGAGCCTGATTATAGCTCATACTTTCCCATCCTCAAATCACATGGCCAAAATATGTGTGAGAATTTAGTATTTATTTATAATCACCAGATGTGCATCATTTTCTTACTGGATACTTTTAAAATATATGTTTAATACCATAATAATGGGCTGTTTTTATTTATTTATTTATTTTTGTCTTTTTCTTTTTTATTGGTATCGGGGATCGAACTCACGACTGCCTGCTTGCAAGGCAGGTGCTTATGCCGCTGAGCTAAATCCCCAGCCTCAATGGGCTGTTTTTAAAGAGTATACCATATACTTTATAAACATCATCTCATTTAATCCTTAAAAAACCCTAAGGGATAGACACACCCCCATTATGAAACTGAAGTTTAAAGAGGGTATTTTTCCCTAAGTGAGGACACATCTGGTTAAAGGCAGAGCCACGTTTAAAATTCTCAGCTGGTTTCTGCACCTCTTGTCTTTCCATGGGGAGGGTCAGTACATAGGGGCTGATTCCAAAGCTTTGAAGTATAATTTGCATAGTGGTTTTCAGAGTTCCAGGCTTATTTGGTGCCTAATAAACCTCATATTGGAGAGGGGAGGGAATTTAATAATATAATAATTTTGACTATAAATTTTCATCTAAAACTCTCGAGGGAGGTAAAGAGTTAAACATAACATTTTTTTTTTTAGCTAGATGAATGGATTGAGCATGTCCGTGTGTGACTGACAGCTATGCCATATTGGAACCCTTCTGTGTCTCGGTTTTATCAGATGTCTGCCTGTTTACTTCACTTTCATGTGTTGTCCTCAGTCCAGCTGGCAGGCAGAGGTCATCTTACGTGCTGTTTCCATCCAGTAGACATTAAATTAGAGCTGCTAACAGAATTACCTCAGAAGAGCTGAGTTCATCCCAGTACATGCTTTTTCCAGTATTAGTAACTTCTTCTTGGAAAGGTTTAGTCCCAGACACATTGTGGCTGTGATAGCAACTTTAAATTTAAACTCAGAATAGGTGTTTGTTGTTTTTTTTCCCCCTTGAGACAGGGTCTCACTGTGTAGTTCAGGCAGGCCTTAAACTTACCATGTAGCTTAGGCTGGCCTCAAACTTGAGGCAAATCCTCCTGCCTCAGCCTCCCAAGTGCTAGGTTTACAGATGTGAGCCACCATGCCCTGCTTCTGAATGCTGTTTTAATCCATATCATCTATACCTATAGACTTTCCTAGGCCGTTTTAAAAATAAAATGGAGATACTGAATCAACTGGAGTGCTAGCATTTTATCTTTTTGACAAAAATGTAGACTAATTAGATAAGTAAACATTAACCCTGCATTTTCTATTTTGTAATTGCAGTACCAGAAGAAAACATTGCGACCATGAAGTATGGAGCCCAGGTGGTGAAAGGGGAACTGAAGTCTGCCCTGCTGGATGGTGATACTCAGAATTACGATTTGGATCATGGATTTTCTAGGCACCCAATTGATGATGATTGCCGTTCTGGCATTGAGATTAAGCTAGGTCAACCATCCATTATCAATCACATACGGATCTTGCTGTGGGACCGGGATAGCCGGTGAGTCATCAGCCTGACTTGGAGAGAAACTGGCCTGTCTGATGGCAGCGGCCTGTCTTTGTGATCATCTGCTGTGGTTTTACAGATTTTAATGATTTATGTGTTGGTGATTATTTGGCTGTGTTTCTTGAAGGTTAGTTTTGTGGGAAGACGTAGATTATAGATTCTATATATTTTTTAAAAATGATGCTTTCCCCCCCATTGATAAAAGCACTGACTATATGTTTTGTGTGTGTGTGTATGTAATAGAAAGTAACGACCACATAGAAGAAAGTAAAAATTGGTAGTAATCTCACCACCCATTATGAAAATTTGTATGTATCTAATTATGCCCCGTACCAGGGATTAAATCCAGGGGTAGGAAGGCATCTACCTCTGAGTTATATTTCTGGCCTCTAACATTTATGTGTGTATATATAAATGTGAAATTAATTTGTTTATTAGTATTGGTACATGTTTGCAGTGCATAATACTTATGTTCCTCATGGGGAGTTGGTGTATATATATAAAATGCATCTTAATTCTTTTTTTTTTTATTTAGAGGAAAAAAGCAAAACAGAAAAAAGGGTAGATGTACAGAATTTCCAAAAAAAGCAGTAAGAAATCACTAGTTGATAAATTACATATTGTTATCTTAGAAGTAGTTGCTCAAGTTTCAAAATCAAAGCATAAAAAGTGGACAGTCAGACAATGACAGCACAAATCAATCCGTTTGATGAATTCTTCTATTTTTGTTATGGATACATAGGTGCATATGTGAACACACACAAACCTGCATGTTGTTTTAAAAAAAGTAAGTTTTTAAAGATTACATAAAAACCAACTGCACTTTTTAATTAATATATTTAAAACATTCTAACCTTTTAAAAAGATTTCTCTTAAATGTTTCTTGTAATGGTTTGGTGGAATACCACCATACAGGTGGTATTATTTACTGGATTCCTTACTGTTGAATATTATGATATTTTTTGTAGGTAGTTTTTGGGGTGTATGTATGTGTTTAGGAGTGCTGGTGATGAAAGCTATGGCTTCATACATGCTAGGCTAGCACTCTGTCGTTGAGCTATATCCATAGCGCTATGACAATTATTTAAATGGGTGAAAAGAGCTACTGTCCTTTAGTGTATGGGTGAATATCTTCAAAATAATGAGAAAATTTGGTGGGCCATAGTCTGGGAGCCTACCCATTTTCTCAGTGGCGTCAGGATTCTGCTTTCTTTCTAGCTGCTGTGATGGTTTTACCCACTGTGACTTGCAGGGTCCATCCATGATGGCAGGATAGCAAGGCAATGTGGGAGACCAGGATTGAACTGCCTCTCATTGCTGCTTATATTACACTAAGCTCTGCACACCCAGAAGCTTGCTCTCGCTCTCGCTCTCACATCTTTGGGTATCGACATGAGGGGCTTTGTAGTAACAGTGATGGTGCCCTGTGAATTTCACAGGGTGCTGCATTTCTCTCTTTGGCTCCTTTGGCCAACATCCTGGTGGCCTTTTAGCCCATTTGAGCCATGTGTGAGGGAAGAGACAAGGGTCACCATTTGTATATGCAGTGAGGTTTTGAGATTCTCCAGGTTATTGCTCCTTGACTTTACTTTCTTTCTCCCAGTGCTGAGGTTCGAACCCAGGACCTCAAGCATGCTGGGTAAGCACTCTACAATTTAGCTACATCTCTGCCCTTCTTTTTTTTTTTTTAATTAAGAATATATTTCCTGGGGCTGGGGATTTAGCTCAGCGGCATAACCACCTGCCTTGCAAGCAGGTGATTGTGAGTTCGATCCTGGGTACCGATTAAAAAAAAAAAAAGAATATATTTCCTGACATATATCTTTGATATAATTTGACTTTTTTTCCCTAAAGCTTTCACTCTGAAGTACATCCCAGGCCTCTTTTTTTAAATTTTGTGACATGGTGATCAGGTTGGGACTGAATTTATGATCCTCCTGTCTCTGCTTCCCAGAATGTTGGGATTGCAGGTGTTCACCACCACACCTGGCATAACTTTGTTTAATTGGCAAGTGAGTCTAATTCACATAGCCATTTCCAAGAGCCTCTCATTAATAACAGTGTAATAATATTTATATAGCTCTTTCATTTTTCCTCTGTGGTAGGCACTGTTCTAAAAGCTTTACATATTTCATCTAATTAGTACAGAAATTAGTACAGAATAATAAAAAACATGTAGGAATATTTGAAACTGAAAGCAGTTATCATTGTTTCCATGGTGTTAAGTATTTATAGTTGACTTTTTTATAGTACCTATTACTTTTATGGGGGACTTAACTTTACCACATCACTCATAACTCTTCTTTTCTCACAGAAATTGTTATTCTAAGCAAAGGTGAAAAATTCAGAATCTTAAGCCAAAAAGATTCTGACGTGCTTTAAAATTATATCTTGCATTACTGATAACTCGGAGAGGTTCAATAAAAGGTTATAACCAGTTTGAGACTGAGCGATAAAATGAATGGGAGTTGAGGGGACAGCAGAAAATGAGGCAGCGCCACAAAATCAGCTGACCTTTCCTGGTCACAACTGTGGGTTGCAGGCTGACATTTATGGTCACCTAAATCTTCAAGATTGTTCCTGTTGATATTACAGTACCAATAATAACTGCATCTCAAATTTAAATTCGGCTTATGACAAAGGAATATAGATTTGTTCAGTGTGGAACCAGCATGGAATGGTCCAGGGCAGCTGACTGGGGAGGATAATGGCCTATTTTCATTACTGTCAGGTTATTAGTTGGCAAGTTTTAAGTTGTACCCAAAAGAAACATGGATTATCTCTTCATCCATCTCGTTTATTTTTTTGCAGGCTGCTTGAATGTGTGGAGTGGGAGGAGAATGAGGGGTAGCAGAAGATAAACTAGCCTTTTTGGGGAGCCCTCCTAGTTGCTTTTCTTCCTGAGAAGGGAGGGCTGGGTACCCAGGCCAGGGCCCTAAAGGGAGACGGCACACCTGCTTCTGTTTTCTGGTCTCTCTCTTTTTTCCCTCCCTTTCTCCTGTTTGGCTCTATTAATTTGCTAATACATTATGGCCATGGCATCCTGGCCATGTTTGAAAAGGAACAAATGTCTTGCATGTCTGATAGGTGCTAAGCTATGGTCCTTGTTTAAGCAGTGTATGGTTTGATAAGGCAGACACAAAAGCTGAGAGAATTCTAATACATGAGGTACATGTTACACTAAAAGAATTTTGTACAACTTTCATTGTTATCAGAAGTTGAGTTTTTGCAGAAAATGTAATTAGTAAGTTCTATATATTTATGCCATTTACTACTTTAAATATAGCTTTGTATTTTAATGATTTTTTTTCTGCTTTGTTTGTAGATCTTACTCCTACTTTATTGAAGTGTCAATGGATGAACTTGATTGGATCAGAGTGATAGATCATTCACACTATCTGTGTCGGTCTTGGCAGAAGCTGTATTTTCCAGCCCGTGTTTGCAGGTTAGTTCTCATGGTTAATAAATGATTTTCATTCCTATTTAAAAATACATGGCAAGGTCATGAGTTTGATTCCCAGTACCCCAAAAGGTAAAAATACATATGTGTGTGTGTGTGTGTGTGTGTGTGTGTAATTTGAGAAGGAGATGGGAATCTTGTAGAAGAAGAGTGTTTCAGACTGTCAACTACCAAACTCAACCCATGGGGGAAAAACTTATGCAACATTATGTGCCTTGATGTTTAGAATGCAGTGGAGCTATTCTACATGTTTTGTATCATGGTTATGTGTAGAAATGTGAAGAATAAGGGACAGGGGACACTAGATAAGCTGAAATGCCTTTTAACACTCAGTGCTATATTTTGAAAATAAAATTATTGTTAGGGACTGGATTCTTCCCACAAAAGCTATGAGAAATATTTCTAGAGGCTTTCCAGGCTGTGCCCAGCACCACGGGGAGGGTTTTGAATGGCAGAGTGCATGTTCTGGCTATCTGTGTTCTTTCTCTAGGTAGTGGTTCTCAGATGTGTTTGACCAGACAGGTGTCTCAAGTGGCTGGGAGTGTGGTTGACTGGAGTCCATGTTGACGTCTTGTCTTCCTCTGTGTTACTTCAGCTTGCATTGTTAATTATATTGCAGCCCCCATTAGGATTGTTTTTTTTTTTAAATGGATTCAACCTTTATTGTGGGAGTGGGTTACTTATAAAAGAATAAGTTCAGTTTTCTTTTCTCTCCCTCTTCCCTTCTCATCTTCCCTCTCGCCTTCACACCTTCAGCCTGAATGCCACTGCCAGATCCTTTGCACTCAGTCTTAGACATACAATGTTCCAGAGTCTTTGGACAGCTCCACAGGTCTCAGGAGTGGATTGGCTTTAATATCCTCAATGAGCTCCATCATAGGTTGCAAGCACTGTATAGGGAACTTGGCCTCAAGAAAACACAGAGAGTTTTGCAGGGCTCAGCCACTGGGGTCATCTTCAGTCAGGCTCCTTGAATTTAGATCTGCTTCTCTAGGCAGTTAGAGGTCCAGCAAGTCTGGTCCTTACTTTCTCTTGGCAATGGTTGTTAAATGAACAATGGTTGAGTTTAATCTTTTATGGGAAGGAAAACAGTAAGTCACTGTCTGGCTCCCCACAGAGGGAGTGTGACCACAGAGGTTAGCTGGCCCCACTCTGGGTAATCTCTAAGGTCCCTTTGGCCTGCTGGCTATAATGCCACGGTGAACCCCCACCATAGTTATGGTACTAAGAAGATCAAATGCAGAGATTTGTAGGCCAATAGAAAGGCTCAGGCTGTTCAGCAACCAGTCCTCCCCTGACCCATCAACTCCATCGTCATTTCGAAAAAGGCAAGGTCATCTAATTGCAGTGTTTCCTGTCACAGAAAGCCTGCACAGAAAGTTCACCAACAATGATCACTGCAAAATGAATTCATACATTCAGGATCAGGGCTTTTTTTCAGGCTTCGAAATACATCATAATTATGGAGACCTCCTCCTAAAGGCACATAGCTTGCAGGACCCATTAGGATTGTTTTTAAAAAGTATTGAAAACCTACTGTTATTGTATTTCATATTCTCCCTTTATGTGTAAATCATTGTTAAACTTTCTAAACTTCTGCAAAATCTGTACAAATTAATGAATTTGGGAGTTGGGAAAGGTCATTAAAGGGCCCTGAAATTCTGACATTTTTCTACTGGAAGTTGTTCCCAGATATTCTCTACCTTCAGGTCCAAGATCAAAAGCAGAAAGTGGTTGGTTCTTTTAGTCAGGCGTGGCAGGAAGAAAAGGGAAGGGACATTGTGGCCATCTACCAGCAAGCATGTGACGCTGGCACGGCCACCACCACCACCTGTGACTGAAACAGACTGCTGTGTGACTTAGTGGAGGGGAGGGGGTGCCCCACAGCACTTGGTCTCTTGGTCATGAGTTACCCTTGCAGCTGTGATACTCGTGGCACAGCAGCAGGTCCAAATTCTTCTAGCACAAGAACTCCACAAAGCTTTCAGCCTCTAGTACAGTAAAGAATGTGCCAACATTTGTTTTTAAAGGTGTGACTGGACATAATGTCGTTACACAGGAATCTGCTTGTGTGAAAATGAACAAAGCCAGTTTCATTCCCAAAGAGGGACTGAAGTGTCTCAGACCCGTCAGTTGTTGTTTTATCAGAGAGATTTTGAGTGAATTAAAATAAGAGGGACAAGAAATCAAGTGAAGACTCCCTATCTCAGAGCTGCCTATGGATACTGGCAGAATAACTGAGTTTGAGTCTGCATTGACTCAAGCTGCTATGATTGTGTAGGTTTAAAAACGAACAGCATATAATAACCAAAGTGCCTGACATGAACCGAAGGACATTGTTTGTGTTTAATTTGAAGCAATGGAAATGTGGTACTTGCCGTGACTGTGTACACCTGGCAGCTCCAGGTGTAAGGAGCGAAGCCCTCCAACATCACTTCAGCCTTTTGGAAGATATACTTCCCCTTCACTTACCAATGGGTGTTATTTACAGTTAGTCCTTATTTTGCCAGTGCAGAACATTGATGTATTCACGATGCTGGCTTTTGTCTTGGTATTTCAGTTCCCAAATCTGAAATACTGACCAAGAGTGGTATTAGAAATTAATGATGGCCACAAGAGGAAGACGTCTCAATAGCCAGTTTGTAAGAAAGTTAAGGAAAAACCCTTATAACCACCTTACCATTATTAACTACGGTAGCCCTTAATGAACTCTGCCTTTGTGATAGGTTAGATTTTGATACTTTTTAAAATGGATCTAGGAATAATCTCCCTTGATTACCCAAGAATGTCTAGTGTTTCGAATCATTACAATCATTATTGACTACTTGACGTTCTAAAAACACTTGCAGGAACTTCACTGAGCAACTACACACTTCATTCCCTTAGCATAGCAGCGTTTAGTTTGCATAATATTAATTTGCATGTTTGTATGTTACCATTGTTCTTCAGTGTCCTTTGTTTGTCTTGCCTTTGATACCAAAATTACAAGCTCTTAAAGGCAAGGATTATAGACTCTAATCTTTTAGTATTTTGGCACAATATTTAGTAGATAGTGTATAGATGTTTGGAGTTTGTGGTGTTAAAGCACTGGATATGTAGTGAGAGATTGATTTAACAACAATAATATGTACATATATTTGTTGGTGCTTTTTATCAAATGTACTCATTAACTTGAGTGTGAGTACTGGAAGATTCCCTGGAGAGGAAAATGGTCTGTACTATTTGTAAAGGTTATTCTCTCCGATGTTTTTTTTTTGAAACTGAACTTTGAGATTCTTCTTGAAGGATATGACTGTAATGTTTTGATAAAAGATTCCATCCATTGCATTCACAGAAGAGATACTCTTTGAATTAGAAGTGGTAGATTACCATTTCCTCTCTCTGAGGCTACATAAAATTGTCTATAAATCAGCATTGTTAGTAAAGGAACTGGGTTGTGGAGTTAGAGCTCCTCTCAAATCATAGTTTTTACCTCAAACTTGCATTGTGATAAGTTGCGCCTTTCTGATCCCTGTGATCTGTACCTACCAACGGGAACAGTATCCTCCTCATCATGAACTTTGCCACGAGAAATGAAGGAAATAACAGGTACTAAGTGCAGTTCCTTATGGGAAGCAGAGGTTCAGTGAATAAGTGGTTTTTATTAATTTTCCTAAATTGTGAGACTCAACTGATGCTTGATCTTTATCAGTGGCAGTTCTCACTTTGCCCCCACTTTCCTTAACTCAAGAGCTAAGTTCTTTGGGCAGTTTTCTGAGTTGCCTATAAATCGCAATCTTGAATATGCCTTTAACTGTTCCCTTTATCTTAATAACCTGCCCATTTTATGTTTCTGAAATTTTATATGTTTAGGTTTTGGCAAAGCATTTTTTATTTTGGTAAAATACACAGTGTAACATAAAATTTGCCATTTATATATCTTGTGTAATGTAATTCAGTCAACATTTACCTTGCTAAGGTAGTGGGTGCTATCTAATGGCAGTCAGGGTAACGTTAGGCCTCAAAGCCAGAGTGATGGTTCCACTGCGGCCGAGAGTAGAAGTGATTGACTGGGTTTTTCTGAACTCTCTGAGGTAAGCAGGGATAACTCTCGCCAAAAGCTTAGGCCAATCATCTCCCTTAACCCTTAGCTATAGATGAAGAAAAGTTACTTATTTTACACACAGTTTTTCATGCCCCCCAGAATCATCTTACGTCTTTGCAAGCTTCCTTTTTCTCTCCTTTATCGTGATCCACAAGCTTCAAATATTTTTCTTTACTGTCTGGTAAGGTTTTCCCAATATTTTCCATAGTTTGCTTAAATGGTAAAGCCTAGGACTCAATGGAAAACACTAGTAAAAAGTGGCAATTATTGAGTATCCTAGGGATTTTATAATTAATTTCTAGCTATTTCACAACATGATGCTTTTAGTTTGGCAGTCATATAATACAGCTGAAATGTAAGACGACTTGGTAACAGAGCTCCATCTTAGGCCATTTTGTGTTGCTATTTCAAAGACTGGGTGTTTTATAAGGAAAACAGATTCTGACTCGCAGTTGTGATTTCTGGAAAGTCCAAACAGCATGGTGCTGGCTACCTGGCTGTGTCCCACCATGGTGGGAAGGGAACTGGCCATGTGGAGGGGGAGCCAAGCACACGAGATGGCCTTTTATAAAAATTTGCTGTCATGAGAAGTAGCTCAGTTGTATGACAGTCACGAGAGTTCTCCCCAGGGTGTTGCTCCCTGACCTATCCCATTCCCTTGGCCTGTTCTTACAGATACCACTTAGTATGGTCACATTGGGTATGCAGGGACTCTATCCAGGTTCCACCAATTAAACATAACAGCACCTCCTCTTCTGAACCTGTCACCAGTGGAGGTATTGGTAACATGTTGCCCTTGTAGTTTATGATTTATAAGCACATTGTTATTTTACTTTGAATTTATCACTGAGTTAAAGTATCTTTGAATACTGGGCATTTGTTCTTATTTATGAAAAGGTGG